GATTATATCACATTAAAAAGCTTTTGCCCAGACAAAAGCAATGCAACCAAGATTACAGGAAAAGCAGAAAACTAGGGGAAAATTTACAGCAAGTTTCTCTGATGAAGGCCTCATTTCTCAAATGTAACAGTGAGTGAGTTGTATTTGTAAGGATAAGCATGCAAGTAATTTGTGAGTTATTAAATACTCGTAGGGTATAAACAGGCAGTTTTCAGAAAAAGAAACCAAAGTTATCTAGAGTCACATAAAAATTCTCGAAACCACTATTGATTAAAGAAATACAAATTAAAACAACTTTAAGGTGCCACCTTATATCTAGCAAATTAGCTAACATGACAGAAAAGGAACTTGACATGCTGAAGAGGATGTGGAAAAATTGGGATACTATTGTTGTTGGTGGAGTTGTAAACTAGTCCAACTGTCCTGAAGAACAATTTAGAACTATGCCCAAAGAACTATAAAACTTTGCATATCTTTTGAGCCAGGAATACCACTATTAGTTCTGTATCCCAAAGAGATCAAAGAATAAAAAGGAAAAGGACTTGTTATTGAGGGGCTGAAACAGTAGAACGGAATTCCAAGTCAAGAGATCTCTTCAAAAAAATTACAGATATCAGGGGAAAGTTTCATGCAAAAATGGGCATGATAAAAGACAAAAATGATAGTGATTCAAGCAGAAGAGATTAGGAAAGGGTGGCAAGAATACACAAAAGAAGTATACAACAAATATCTCTACATCATTGATAACCACATAATTATGACAGTGTGGTTACTGATCTAGAACCATCCATCCTAGAGAATTATGACAAGTGGGCCTTAGGAAGCTAACAATAAGACCAGTGGAGATGATGGAATTCCAGCTGAGCTACTTAAAACCCTAAAGGATGATGCTGTTAAAGTACTGTGCTCAATGTGGCAGCATATTTGGAAAATTCAACAGTTGCCACTGAATTGGAAAAGGTTAGTTTATGTCCCAATCCTAAAGAATGGCAATGCCAGAGAATGTTCAAATCACCAAACAATTGCCCTCATTTCACACTTCAGCACATGGTTGTGTTGAAGATTCAGTAAGCTAGGTTTCAGCAACATGTGAATTGAAAATTAGCAGAATAGCTATGTTTTCAAGGGGCAGAGGAACTAGAGACCAAATTGCCAACATTTACTGGATTATGGAGAAAGCAAGGGAATTCCAGAAAAACATCTACTTCTCCTCATTGATTACACTGAAGTCGTTGTGTAAATCCCAGCCAAAAAAAAAAAAGGAACGTGTCCTCAAATAGATGGGAGTGCCAGATCATCTTACTTGTTTGATGAGGAACCTGTATGAGGTCCAAAAGGCAACAGTTAGAACCAAACACGAAACAATTTATTGTTTTAAGATTGGGAAAGGAACACAACAAGGCTGTATATCGTCATCTTATTTATAACTTATATGTGGAGTACCTCATGTGAAATGCCAGCCTGGATGAATCAAAAGCTGGAATGTAGGTTGCTGGGAAAAATAACAACAATTTCAGATAAGCAGATGATACTACAGAGAGTGAAAAGGAATTAAGAAATCTTTTGGTGAGGGCTAAAGAAGAGAACATAAACGCTGGTTTGAAGCTTAACATTAAAAAAAGCCTAAAATCTTGGCAACCAGCCTTCTCACTTTCTGGCAAAAAGAGGGAGGAGAAAATGTGTCAGGTTTTTTGTATTCTTGAGCTCAAAGAACATTGCAGCCATGAAATCAAAAGATGCTTGATACTTGGAAGGAAAGCTATGGTGCATCTAGATAGCAGACTAAAATCCAGAGGTATCACCTTGCCAACGAAGACCCACATAGTCAAAGCCCTGATTTTCCCAGTAGCAATCTATGGCTGTGAGAGCCAGACCATAGGAAAATCTTAGCACTGCAGAATTAACATTTTACAGTTGTGGTGCTGGAGAAGACTTTTGAGAGTCCCTTGGGGAAAAAAGGAGGTCAAATCAGCTAAAGAAATTAATTCAGTCTTTTTACTGGAAGGTCAATTTTGAAGCTGAAGCTTAAATACATTGGTCACATGTTGAGAAGATAGGACTCATTGGAAAAGACCTTGATGTTGGAAAAGATTGAAGGCAAAAGGAAAAGGTGATGTGGAGGATAAAATAGATAGTGTCATGGAAACAACGAACCTGAACTTGGACAGACTTCAAGGTATAGTGGAGGATGAAACGGCATAGCATGCTATGGTCCATGGGGTCATGAAGAGTCAGACATGACTGAACAACTGAAAAACAACACCTGTCAGTTGGGGACTGGTTGAACAACTTATAATATATGATTGTGATGGAATAGTATTTTGCTATTATAAGAAATGATGATCAGGAAGTTTTCAGAAAAACATGGGAAGACTTATGTGAACTGATGCAAAATGAAGTGAGCAGAACCAGGAGAACATTGCTCATAGTAACAATAATAATGTACAATGATCCACTGTGAATGACTTCACTGTCCTCAATAATACACAATAGTCTAAGGTAATTCTGAAGTATTTAGGATGAAAAATGCTATCCATCTCCAAAGAATTGATAATGGGGTCTGAATATAGGTCAAAGGAAATATTTTTTGCCTTTATTTTTCCTTCTTTTTTTTTTGGCCTGTTTTTTTCTTTTGCAACATGGTTAATATGGAAATATGTTTTGCATGACTGTGCACATATAATTTATGTCAAATCATATGCCTTCTCTAGGAAGGTGAAGGGTAAAGAGGAAAGAAGAGAATATGGAACTCAAAATTTAAAAATAATTGTTAATTGTTTTTACATGTAATGGAGAAAAAAATGAAAATTATCTTTAAAATAGATGCTATGCATTCCAGTGCATACATGATGTAGCAATTCATTACGGCTGTTTTTGCAGTTGCTTTGCTTTATCTGAGATCATATATGTTACCACTGCCTGTGTTATTTCAGCTGAAGCATAAAAGATTTTCCTCTTGCCCCTTCTTTTAATCCTTTGTGAGTCTTTATGCTTCAAGTGTGTTTTTTTTTTTTGCCAAATTGGATAGTCTTAAAACATAGGTCTGACCATAATACTCCCCTACAAAAGATTCAGTATGGGAGGGAAGGGCAGCTAGGTGGTGCAGTGGATAGAGCACCAGACCTGGAGTCAGGAGGACCTGAATTCAAATCTGGTCTCAAAAAATTGACTTGACTCTTACTAGTTATGTGACCCTAGGCAAGTCATTTAACCCCAATTTCCTTGCAAAAAAAAAAAAGATTTAGTGGATTCCCATTGTCTTTGGAACAAAATCATAACTCATTCTTGACACTTAATATCTTCACAATCTAGTTCTAGACCGATTACTCCATTACGATCTGCTAAAATGAACTCCTCTTTCATAATAGTCCATTTCCTCCCTCTTTGCTTTGGCACAAGCTCTTTCCCCTTCCTCATTTCTTTTATGGCCTTGGTCCTATTCAAAAATGAAGATTGACAGCATTTACAACATTTATCTAGACCCTTAGCTGCTTTCAAGGATTCGTGCTAGTTGCTATATTTAAGATGTCCTCAGTTCTTAGTTCTTTCATAAGAAGTTTTGTATTTATTTCATAATAGTCTCCATATTAGCATGAAAAAACAAAAAAGGAAACCTGAGTTGAAAATACTGAGAGTTATTTATTTAATCTGTTTTAAAACTGTATGTATGACATATCAGATTAGCTAAGATGACAATAAAAAGAAAATGACATCCTGCATAGGCTGTGGAAAAACAAGTACACTAATATACTGTTGATGGAGCTATGAATTAACTTATCCACCAACTCTGGAAAGCAGTTTGGAATTGTGTTCAAAATGTTAAAAAAAAAAATCATGCCTATCAGGTGCCTAATAGCACAAAAAAAGGAAAATGTTGGATGTTGGAGGGGATGTGGGAAAACTAGGACACCAATCCACTGTTGGTGGGGTAATGAACTAATTCAAAGAACCAGGAGAATGCTGTACAAAGTAACAGCAATATTGTTTGATGAAGAACTGTGGATGAGTCAGTTTTTCTCAGCAATACAGTGATCCAAGACAATCCCAAAGGCCTAATAATGAAGCCTACTATCCACCTCCAGAAAAAGAACTGATATTGTTTGAATACAGACTGAAGCATGCTATTTTTTCACTTTTTTCTTTCATTTTTTTCTTTTATTTGAGTTTTCTTGTACAAAATGACAAATAGCAAATGTTTCACATAATTGTACATGTACACAATTGTACATATATCTGATTATTTACCATTTCAAGGATGGGGCAGAAGGATAGAATCTGGAACTCAAAACTTCAAATAAAACTGTTAAAAAATTGAAGAAGAAATGCAGTTACATTGCGCATACCCTTTAACTCAGTGACACCACTATTAAGAATATGTATCAAAAACCACAAAGAACAAGGAAAGAGGAAAAGAACATGTATACTATACACATGTAAATATTTATTTTATTTTCTTGGAGCATGACTAATGCAGAAATTTGCCATTTCTAATGGGTTTTATTTATGAAAAAGAAAAAATATTAACTTAATCATCTGTGTTGGCAGAGAGTTGGAAACTGAGAAATGTTCATCAATTGGGTGACTAAATTATGGTAATTATACTGTAATAAATGATTAAAGGATTTCAGCAAAAATCTGGAAAAGACCTGTATAAATTGGTATAAAAAGAAGTGAATAGAAACAGGACAAGAGTTTGTTTACACAGAAGCAGCAATATTGTAAAGATAACCAACTATGAAAGACTTATTAACTCTGATCAACACCCATTACAATTCCAAATGACTCATGACAAAATATGTCACTCACCTGATGACAGTGATGGTGAACTCATAGTGGAGACTAAAGTCCATATTTTTTCTTTCTTTCTTGTTCTCAAATTTTATTTTCTTGGAGCATGGCTAATGCAGAAATTTGTTTTCCATAACCTATTTGTGATGGGTTTTATTTTTCTTCCCTTTTCATTGGGAGGGAATTTGGAATAGAAAAAAAATTAAGTCTCTGAGAATAAATTTGTATATATGGTAAAATTCTTTCATTCTCATCCTTTTTCCCTCCTCCCACAAACCGTTTTTGTTAGGTATGGGCAACAGAAAACCATAGTGCAGATAGTACTATGTAGATCTACTGAACAATATGGTCACAGAATGTTTTGTAATTATTACTGTCATTGTTGAAGACCAAAAACTTGGGGCTCATAAGAGTTTTTTTTAAAAAATCCAGTACATACCCCTCAGTTGCTGGAAAGCTGACTGAAATGAACTTTATAAAAACACGAACCTTTATCGATTTTCAACTACAAATTCTCAACTACTTTTCCAGTTCTAAATTTAGCTGATTAGAACGTATTTGCTTGATGAGTTAATTAAGTCAGGGCCCAGTCGTTACAGCACATGGCCTGGAGTTGAAAGACTCATCCCTGTGAGATTGAATCTGACCTCAAACCCTTCTGAGTTGTGTGATTCCGGGCAAGGCACTTAACCATGTTTCTTTGTTTCCTGATGTATAAATTAGCTAGACAAAGAAATTATACCTCCTGAATCAGTTAAGAATTATCTTTATTTTATTTAATCTCATTTTGTTACTATAACATTGGAATTGTGTCTGTGATTCAGCACAAATAAATTAACTGAAGAACTGACATTAAACTATAGCTGATTTAATAAAATTGTTATGAAATAGTTGAGCGTTGAAAATTAGTGATTTTGCAACATTTTGGTTGTGATTTAGAGAAGTCACTCATGGTTTTAAGTTTCATAGTTGATATAATGTTTATTCAAAGGGAAGGGCAATTGCTACCATTAAGAATAATATCAGAAAAGAACTGAGGCTTGGTCAAGTTGGATTAATTCATTGTGACTTCATCATCTGAATCATTAATAATGATTTTTATTTTTTATAATCTTCAGTGGATAAGGAAAGTTATGGATACAATAATTGTGGGCTTATTTTTTGCCTTGTCTTTTAAGATAATTCTTAACTGATTCAGGAGGTACAATTTCTTTTATTTCATATGAGATACTTTTAACCTATGACAAGAGTACACACAAATTAGCAGTAAACTTAATACTTAATAAATTTGCGTTCAGTTGTGTCTTTCTCTTCATGACCCTAATTGTAGCTTTCTTGGTAAGGATACTGGAGTGGTTTGTCATTTCTTTGTCTCGCTCATTTATACATAAGGAAACAGAAAAACATGGTTAAGTCATTTTACCCAAATATCTGACTTTCAGTCAATCACTGATCACATTTGCTAGTTTTTACATTTCAGAAATAACCATCCTCCAACTCTAAAATTTTTGAATATTCTTATTGAAAACCAGATTCAAAGTTCCAAAAAAAGATTTGTCTATAGATCTTTAGATTTCTGCAATTATTGAGGATACATAATGGCAGTGATGTCTGTCAAAGGAAAGTGGGAGATGACCTTTTGAAAAAAGAATAAAAAGTGAAAAATATAAATAGCAAATGGCACATTTTTTATATTTGTATTATGTGCTAAAGATTTTAAGTCTGACAAGCCTACAGAGACATCTTAATGTTCATTTTTGGGAGGTATACCTAATCACTCTGTGAAGGTATTTTCCCTTTCAGAATATTACACAAACCATGAAATTCACCATAGGTAAACAATGTCATCCACGCTTGAACTATGATAACTCTTATCACCTACAAACCTATGATTTCACATATAAGGTCAGTTCATAGTCAAGAGCCTTCTGGAGACCCCAAACTTTATCAGTTACATCGTTGTAGAAAATACTAGATTAGAAAATATGCATACTGAGCAAATGATACAATAAATATTAAATAATGTACAGTATGTTGATCTTGAGAAGGAAACCTCAATAGGCACCACACCTCTTTTTCAAACCAGAAAAAATGTAATGGTCTTTATTTATGAAGTAGTTGGTTTAGTCTTTAAACAAAATTCAGGAGATCAAATTACAGTTTGAATTTATAATATCAGAATCTTATTAAAGAGTTTTCAAATATGTTGGAAAACCTGAGGCAGAGATTTCAACAGGTGTGACATTTGTAACTGCTTATCAATATATAATTATAATTCTTGCTAACTTTATAAATACTCTCTCTTTAGAAGTCTCTAATCTCATAACAATCCTGCAAGGTGTTATTTCTATTCCCATCATATGCATGAGAAAACTAAGGCATACAGTGCTTAAGTGACTTAATGTAACAGAGCTAGTAAATATCAAGTCATATGAGTCAATCTCTTGATTCCAGATTCAGTTTTAAATACACAGTACCACTTAGCTGCCCTTCATATATAAAACATATAAATGTAATTCAAATTGAAAAATTAAAACTTTTTTTCTATGAAGTCATATGAAAATAAGCTAGTTTTGATATTAAAATTGTAGAAATTATGTAATTTTTTTTAGTTTGGCAAGTTAAAAAGTTCAGAACTTTGAAAAGTAATTTACATGTTGATTTGAAAGAAATGTCAATGTTTTTCAAAATAACTGGGGCATTAGTATACCTAAAAAGATGAGATACACATCACTGTCCTATTTATGGATTAATGTCATTCATATAAAAATGACTACTCTATCCCAGAAAGTTCATCCATATGATTTCAACTATGCAATCCTTACCTATGTATATTAAAGAATACTAATACAGTTCATGATTGTGATGTTTATATAAAAAAATAACGTGCACTGAGAAATTCATGTTCTTCTATATACACTGGAATGCTATGGAACTGCCATAATGAATGTGATGTCAATTTCTGTTTTTCTGCATTATAATTAAAAAATAGTAGCTTCATGGATTAAAAGCCAGCCCCTGAGTCAGGCAGACCTAGGTTCAAGTGGTCCAATTCTGAGGAAATCACAGATCTAATCCAAAAATAGCAAAGGAATGTTGATTACATACTGTTTCAAGGTTTGGAAACTGGAAGGCTAGACAGACTTTACAAATATAAAACTACATTTATGAACGCTTATCTCCCTAGTTGAAAACAGTTTATATATTTTACACTAACACTTTAGATTTTTAAGATTAAAACTATTTAGATTTCAGTAGATAAACCAGATAGTCAGTGGATAACAAATTAGGAACAGATTAGTCTCCAAGTGGTCAGGAAGGAAGTCTAGCTTGATTTTGGATAGTGTCGACACACAACACACATTGTAACAGTACTATGTACAATAATAAATGTCGGTTATCTACTTTATGTTCTAATACAACATGAAGATTTATTTAGCACAATAAAGCTATTTATTGAAGGTAACATCACTAATTCTGATGCTGAAATATTATGTTCAAATAAGAATTTGAAAACTTTTGTTTATGAATAAATGACAAAGCACTATGAGATTCTGCAGTGATGTTAAGTGAATTACCCTCCCAATTTTAAACATAAACTTTATGAAATTTTTGATAACTTATGCTGTTACTTACAACCATCTTACTTCTGTAGATTGTGTGCTTTCATTTGCTCTAATGCTGCAAATACTTCAAACTAAAATATACACTAGCCAACCTATGTGACACATAAAATTTTAAATTTCTATCATGAATTGACCCATTATAATACTGACAATTGTTACTTTAAACCTCATCTTCTTTATATACACATGTGGAATAAGCTGTAAGTACAATTTGAAGTGGACTAATCAAGCTTTTATCTCATCTCTTTCCAAAAAGCAAGAATATAAAAAATGAACTAAAATAATTTACCATATTTTTAAAAAAATCACGTCAAAATGGAGATAGCAACAGATTTAGACTATCCATTCTACTTGACATATCTTAAATAAATTCAGACAAGTCTCGTCATTTTGGTTTTTAGTAGAAACTAATAAATTTTAATTTTGCGCATTAGCCCAATGGTAGCCTATAAATAAAGTACCCAAAGTCACCTATTAAGCTAATTAGATACCAGAGTTAGCTACCATATTTATGATTTGGAGTTGGAGAAACCTCATCAGTTTAGTTTACAATATTTTTTATTATAATGTTTTATTTATAAGTTTTACATCAGCTGATCCCTAAGATCTCTTTCTGTTCTACTAAAAATCCTACAATAAGCCAGTAAATAAATGGTTTTGATGTCTACTTAAAAAATTACCATCAGTTCTCAATCTTGTAAAAAACAATTTAAAAATGTTAATACTGTTTATTTAGTTTGGAAAACATTTTAGCATTCTAAACATACAAAAAAAAGGTCAACCAAATGTTTCAAATATTAGGTACAGAATATGTTTTAACTTCCATTGCTGCATTGTCCCTTTTAATTTTCTAAAAAAGTTCCCATTTTTAAAACGACAGCATTTAACAACCACAACCAAAAAACCATTTTTCATGCCAGCTGAAACCCTACCCCCTTGCCACATCTAAGAATGGCAGCAGACTGCTATTTCACTATATACAAAATGACAACTGTAAGCTAGATGGACAATCATTGTATAAAGCTACTCTAACAGTGCATGCTTTGGGCCACGGCACCTAATGAAATATCCAAATTAATCTTCCCTTTCTAAGGTGTCATAATTCCAAATATTTATGAGAATTTGTCTAGTACATATAAACACACACCCCCCCCCCACATATATGTATATATGGTGTATGTATACTTACATGTAGGCATATATTTATATGGGTGTGTGGAGATATGTACATACCCCCTCCCTTCCAGATATACAGAGAGAGTATAAGTTTACAACCTGGGATTTCTAACCAATAACCATAATTACCACACACAAAAGCCTGTAACTTTTAAAAATGTTTTGTTATAGCAACAGCAAAGTGCACAGAGACAGGAAAACACTAAATTTCCTTTTCATTTTAAAAATGTTTGGAAATATGTACAACTTTGATACAGTTTCAAGGTGCTCATAACACCTCACATCCATGACAAAAAATGTCTAGAGCACCTGTTTCCAATTTTAAAAGCTAAATGCTACATATGCAGTAGAAACTGTATCAATAAAGGTGCTTTAGTGTTTCCCCAACTCCATGGTACTTAAGACAAATAATACAGTTTTATTCATCATCATCTTCCTCTTCTTCCTCCTCTTCCTCTTCTTCCTCCTCCTCTACTTTTTTCCGGGATGCTTTAGCTGTTCCCTTTGCACTATCAAACTTTCCTTTGGACTTATAATCAGCAACATCCTGTGTAAGAAGCAATTAGAGAATTACATATCAAATAACTACACTGGAATCTCTGCAGAAATTGATTGAATTAGCTACTTAATTGATGTTTTTCAAAGATTTAAAATGTCCAAACTAAAAATGCCTTTTTCCTTGGGAAAATATGGACCACTCCCCAAGTTAAAAAAATTAAATTATTAATTACTAAAGATTCTGAAAGATTTTTCAATAAACCAAGAAGCATTTATTATGTTTTGGATGCTCTACTAGGAATACAAAAACCAAAATAAATCTACGCTTGCCTTCAAGAACCTTACATTTAAAGGCCTTAGAAAGGTCAACTAGAATGAGAACTGAGAATATGGCCATTAGATTTGGTAACTTTGGAAAGAGCAGTTTCAGTGGAATGTTGAGGTTGGAAGTGAGCAAGAGGAAAGCAAGTGAAGATACGGAGTACAGGAAGCTTTTTTTTTTTTTTTAAAAAAAGGCAATTTAACTGACAAAGGAAAGGTTCAGAATATTACCGAGTGCGTCTGGCAAGATTTACAGAGTAAGAGATCTTTTGAAAGGATGAGGGAGAGACCAGGCTGTGTTTGTAGTAGGGAATAAACCATTAGGCAAATTAGAGAGTGGAGACAAGAGATACTAGAGAAGACATACATTGCAGAAACAGAATAGACAGAGAAAGGGACCTGCCCACAACAGCAGTGTTCCTGAGTGTGGGGGCCCTGGACAAAGAAAGAAAGAAGTTCAGAAGCTAGCAGAAGCAGCAGCAGCAGTTATGTGGCTCAGATCACAGCTTCATAGCAGGGTCTCCCAGTATCCATCCAAGCCTACAGAGGAATAACCAGGGGCAAGTGGTCCTGTCCAAAGGGAAACCATTCTGCTCTGAGCATAAGAGAGCTTTCCAGCTGCCTGATAAGTGGAGAGTCCAGCAACAACCTCCAGGCCAGGAACTTGCAAAGCTCAGAAAAGGGGCAGCAATCAGAGACTGCCCTAGATCAGACTAGTCTGGGAGCACCAAAAGCTTGCAGGTTCTAAGCCTGTCCTCGAGATCCTGGAATTACAGATCTCTTGGAACATAAGGGCAAAGTGGAAATATAATGAATCCACTGGTCATTTCCAAAAAGAAACT